GCCTGGGCCGGCTGTTCAGCACAGTGTGTTATCATCATGATGTGCTGGTGGGAGGCCAACAACTGTGTTTGCGCACGTGTGTGTCAGTGCAGTTGTATGTGTGTGCGTTTGTTTATCCGTGGACTCTGAGTTATTTCATCTTATGCTCACTGAGAAGAGGTGTGTGTGTGTGTGTGTGTGTGTGTGTGTGTGTGTGTGTGTGTGTGTGTGCGCGCGCGCACCTCGGGCAGATGCTTTTTCATGCAAGTCAGTATGGATTGCCGAGGAGTAAGAGAGCTTTCAGTTTGCATTACTATCAAAGTTTCTATTTGTGTAAGTCCTGCACACATGTATATAGTCAGCGTTAAAGTATTACACACCACGCGGTTTGTCAGTGTCAAACATTCACAAATTCACCACCCGTGTTTTCTTTTAGCTCTCGGTTTCCTTGCCGGCAGCGCTTTGCCTCTCAAACCTGCAGATGTGCTGACTTTGCACCCGCTGTTGGTTTACCTGATAGCTCCCTAGCACCGAGTAAACCCCGAGCTTACGCCGCATATCCTGAGCCAGCGATCGAAGAGAATTAAAAGAGAACATAAGTATCCCCCCTCAAACACGGCACACTTGAGTTTTACTGAAGTGGCTTGTAAAAACATGCTGGTACCAAAAAGACTCCTATTCACCGCTGAGTGCATGCACTTCTTAATAAAGCTGCAGCATTGGTTTTCCTCATGAATTAATTAATGACTAATAATCTTCTTTCGTAAAGGCAAGCTCTTTAATGGATTAGATATGATCCTGTGTGTAGAAGAAAGGCTTTAATGTCTGGCTTACATCAGATTGATGATATTTGATGAAATTTGTTCATTTTCTGAATTTGTATCGCCACGGTTACCAGCCTTTCACCCTGTTTCGGACCACATAGGAGACATTTTTTGACACCCGGGATTTTTGCATTGCATTTGACGTCAAATTAAATGTAACCGCTCAAAAAGTGTTCTTTAAAAGGATACATTTACCAGAAAGATGGATGTAGCCATAGTGATGAGGCCAGTTGATTTATGAGGTCCAGCTGGAAAAGCATAATTTTAAGCTTTTTAGCTGCTGATATCTTGTTATTTTTGGAGCAAGAAATCAACATAACTGGAGAAGACATGAGATTAACTCTAAGCTATCTGCTTGGTTAGCAAGTTGCATCAATAGACTGTATGTGTCATGATTCGGCTGTGTGGCAGGCAGGAGAGGACCCAAACGCACACTCACAGGGACACGGGGAATAAGCTCAGAGAGCACAGCTTTATTGCTGGAAAGGCAGATCACGGGTAATACAAAACTAAACTGGGAAAAACTAAATATAAAGCTCACCAAGAAACACAGGGAGAATCACACACAGCATGAGGGAGAACACGACACCGAACTGAAGGAGACGCAGACATAAATACACAGAGGGTTAACGAGGGAAGTGGGAACACATGGGGAACACAGCTGACACAGATAACCATAACGAGACAGGGCAGGAGTGAACACAACATGACGCATACTGACGAGAGACTGTCAAAGTAAAACAGGAAGTACACGGAGGTTCAGACAGGAGGAGAGAGAGCACTGGGAGAACACAGACATAACGGGCTGGGGAAAACATGGAATAAAACACAAGGAGAGACGAGGGCTCACAGATACACAGGGGCACACAGGAGGTAACCAAATAAGAAACATCTTAACTAAATAACCTAGGAACCAAGGCATAAATAGGGAACAAAATACAAAACACACAAAAACTAAGAATACTAGGCCAACATGGCCCAGGACCATGACAGTATGTGTGCTTGTCAGGAACACAGATACCTGTTAATTGCATGCAAATAAAATACTCCTTGAAACTAGAGCACATCGACTTCTTGGACAATCTCTTAGTACAAGTAACCTCACGGCAGACCATGTTATTTGCCTGATAATTGCATAACAACGCTCCAAGATGCACCAGCCCCTCAAACACTGTCGAGAGGTAGAGTTGAATTAGTGGAAGTGAAGCCTGGCAGACAGTTACCAGTTACAGCTGCTTGTGTGTCAAATCGGCACAGGAAATGTTTAATTGGATTAAACGGGCAACTTTACTATACAGTGATGGGAGTATACAGTGATTCATTTGCTTCAGCCAGCCCACAGTGAATGATTGCCGATGGCAAATCATTCTGTGATGAACAAGTTAATGCCCATCCTTCGGTAATGTACACAAAATGGTACACACGATGCTTCTGTTTGTCACTTAGTCCGCCCAGGCGTTTTTATCCCTTCAATCATTCCATTTATTACATTAAATAAGTCATGTTTAACTGGCCTGACTCAATTTAAAGTGGTTTACAGCAGGCTCCTGTTCTGCTGAGCATAACAGTTAGAAACACATTATGATACATAAAAATAAATTTCCCATGAAGCAGAAAAACAGCACGACATAAACAGCAGCACAGTGGAGACAACATAAATTTAATGGAATAAGATGGTATATGATAGTGGCTGTGAGCTTCTCTGAAACATTTGAAGAGGTTATAGAATTTTGTTATACAGAATACAGAATTTCATTCTCGTTTTTATTGTATGGTTCACTCAACCTATTTAGTTTATTGAGGCCTTGGTTGATGTCTGCTGAATGAATCTAGACTGTGATTAATGCGTACATGCTGCACAAGCCTCTGCTTTTTCCAGCCCTTTAAGAGCTCTTACCTTACTCTACCTGCTCTGGTGGTAACAGGCAGATTTATCTGTAGAGTACATGTTTTTGAATCTTTTGAATGGGAACACTTACAAACAAGATGTTTACATTAGCTCATAGGGGCAGTCCTGTAATCACCGTAAGGTTGCCTGCCAAGAACTCAAGACAGTCGAGTCATCATTCATGCTTAGTAAATGATCTGCAGTCATCTGCAAAAGTCACTCTTCATTTCTTTAGATTTTACTGTGGAGATGAGAAATAGGTGCAGCGATTCACTAAAACGTGCAAACATACAGAGTGTATATAAGCCAAACACAGAGTTTGTACAATTCTGTTGAGCTTGAGAGTCGATATTTGGTATGACCACCTTCATTTCTAAACACTGAACCCTATTAGGAAAGCTTTCTTGTCATCTCTTTAAGTAGTCTTCAGGAAGGACATTGCAAGCTCTTCTTCAATAATGATGAGTTTGGGGTCTGGGGAGGCCGTGACTGATTGTGTTGCATTGTGTTTTTCTAAGCAGATATGCTTTTATTGTATTGTCAGTGTGTTTTGGATTGCTGCCATGCTGAAAAAAGTTGTTGTGAATCAGATGCTTTTCAGATGGTATTGCATGGTTTCGGTTTCTTCAGTTGTTTTGAGGACACAGTGCGCAGCATACTGAAATATGGCAATTTGATGTCCTTGTTGGTGCAAAAATATTTAATACCTGCCAAACTGTGACTTTTCTTTTCATATCTTTTCATAGATTCAACTAAAGAATGGGAATAAATAATGTGTTTTTGCACAGGCTGCTAGTAACAAAGTGCCTGAAGATATATTTTTAAATGTTTTTTTGGTTTTTTTTGCCGAGGTGTCTGTTATGTGTAGACACAACATTGGCTCAGCCCTTGAGTTAGGTGCCTTATTAATGTTTGAATTATTCATAGGCAAGTATTAACAAACAAAAAATAGATTCCTCTGAAAATGGTCAGGTACAAGGCCTGGAGAACTATGGCTCAAGAACACTTAAACAATGACAATAAAAGTCTGGCTCTTTGGGAGCAAAATACAAAAGGATGAGGAGTCACTCGAGACTTTTGCACAGTACTGCAACATTTAACTCTCGTGTTTATTTCCCAGCAAATTAGTAAAGTTAATTTCTGCCTCAGACCTTATAAATAATTGCAAAACTGCAATTCTAATTGTCAACAACAGTTCCACATAATAAAATGTGGAACTGTTGTTAGTTTTTGGAATGTAATCTGGGTTGCAGGGCTGACAAATCACAATGAAACAAACAGGACTAGACGGCAAATGAGAGAGGAAAAATGAAAAACACCCAAAAAGACAGAGAGGTTTGAAATTTGCATGCAGGCACACTTGCTCTCTAAGGCATATGCTGGTGTAATGACACACCATTATGCCGGCTTATGAAATTTAACAGCTTGTTTTGTTGTCCAAATCTGCAAGTGGTTGTCTTGTTTCATCTTCAAAATGCTCAAAATGAAACAGTTATCTCATATTATATGATATGAGATAATATATATATATATATACATTTGTGTATATATTAAAACAAAACACACATTTAATCACAGATAAAAACTTTCCCCTGAAGCTTTCAGGAAAAATCAGCCTCTGAGAATTCAGCTTGCATGTCTTCAACTCATTTTCAGCTGGGGATCATGTGTTTAGTACCCAGGCTTGTCACGCTAAAGTCTGGAGGTCAGATGTCTTCCAGCTCCACCAGGCTGATGTTTGCTATGCCGGCCACGTTTCATTAAATCTCAGCACATCAATCTGATCGGAAGTGGCATTGGAGGTGGACTCAATGCACTGAGTCAGTACTGAGTTTGTTGTTTCCAGATTCTTAGTCTCTATTATAAATGAGACACAAATGTTTCAGAGAGGATTTGTATGTAATATCAGTCATCTGTTGCAGTCTAACGCAGCACGGCTGTGAGAGCACAAGGTACGCAGTCTCCTGTGAGAAAATATTAACATAAAAAAGACACAAGTAAGCCTGGATGTGTGCTTGTCACCAATTTGTTAAGCCGATCTTGTGATTGTAGCCATTGATTTGCGTCCCATTGGACAGTGTTCAGTCCACTATCGATCTACTGTTCTAGTGTTCCAAATGACCTTCGGGTTGATTATACTGAGGTGGAAGCAATTTAGCTATTGATTGGCAAAGATGCTTTCGTTGCTCATTAACAGTAAGTTGTATTTGTCTACCAGTATGTGCCTGAGTCAGTGTTAGTGCTGATGTTGGATTTGACTGTGGTATTGTAACGATCCGTGTAATTGACCATTTATGCTGTCTATGCAGGTCGCTGGAAAGGAAGCTACAGAGACCCATACTGGCTAAGTCGCGTACCCTCCCCAGCATCCCCCAGTCTCCAACGGTCTCCAGGGTCCACCACTCTGATCTCATTGGCGGGAGTCCTCCGCGCATGAAGAATCCTCCAGTTGCCACCAGCCACTCAAAGGCCTGCACTTTGCCACCTGCAGGTAAAGACAAAATGGAAGCTAGCACCACACAGCTAGCTTATTTTTTTTTTCAGCTAACAGAGTTTGGAGAAACAATATCAAGCAACTTGTTAGAATCAAAGTGATGCAATTAACCACTTTGTGGTCAGGCCATGACCACTTTTGTTTGAAAAAGGTGATTATAATTTCAATCTGCAGTAATTTGAGGGAAAATTGACCCTGTGGTAGGACCTCTCCACCTGTCTATGGTGTATCTATGGAAAGATGGAGGTGAGGAAAGCAGCAGCAGCAGCAAGACCCCTGCTCAAAACATACTTGGCATGGATAAAGTAAGAAACAGCATGAAAAGGAGGAAGTGTGGCAGAGGTGGGTTGCAAAGCAATTTGCAGATACTGAGCAAGTGTAAAGGCACCCTGTATGAAATTTGCCACTTGGGTTTAACCTAGAAGTGCTCTTTTTTCTTGGTGAACTTTGCTCTGTCTTTCATTTTTCACCATGAAACGGCAGTCTCTGGCCTGAGCGCAACTCAAAGGGTTAGTTATTTGAAAATGATCTTGTGGCGGCGATACAAGAGTTTAAATGGCAGTAAAAGCTTAAGCTAAAGTCTTCTTATTTCTGTTCAAATGCCCACACCTGCATTGGTTCTGTGATATCCTGTCTTATGCTTCACTTGGCTGAGAGCGCCCAGCAGCCATCTGTCTCAGCAGCTGCATGTACAAGAGAAAACAGTGTATATCTTTTCACTGTTTTCTCTCTTCTCTCCTCCTCTTGTGTAGGAATCAAACGCCGCTCCCTCCCAGGAGAGGGGAAACTGTCATGGAGAATTCTGACGGTGTAAGCCCGCTGACAGCGAAGGCTTTCATCTTAAAGACAAATGAGGGCTTTTTTTGAGGATGAAAACATTTATAGGTGGCAGGGATTTTTATGTGAAAGAAAGCCTCTCACAGTTGGGCTTTGATTTGTATAGATCAAAAAGAGCTCTTCTATAGAAACACCACAATAGCAGACATCTGAAACTGAAGGCAGGAGAGAAATGAATCGGGGAAATTTCGATTTAATGCGAGTGAATTAATGCAAACCTTTGATTATCTGTTAAGACAAAAACTAAACATTATGGCCAATTTAAATCATTTCTCATGAAATCTGTGCTTGTGCTATTTAGGCAGTGCATTTCTAATTTCTTCAAGCAGCTCAGATACTTTTTCAAAGTGCCTGATTTGGAAACTAATCTTCCCTTCAACCCTGAACAAGCCAAGCACCATCAAACCAGAGCTCAAAGCTAAAGATCAAGGCTAGACATCGAGCTAGACATCCTAACGCTTGTCTCCTCATTCACACGTATTGATAGACATACACTTTCACTATCACTGCTGACTGATGTCACTCAGCTTGACAGCATGGAGCTCTGAGAGAAGAGATGACTTTTGGCACATTTCAAATGTTGGATTAAGGCGGAAAATACCACGTTATCATTCTCACTTGTGATGTTTAATACAAGAGAAATCTGCACAGGAGCTCATCCTGAAACTGCAAGAAGTATGTAACTCCAAAAAAGACGCAGCCAGCATCAGAGAGGAAGACCTAAATAAAATAAGAAAAAAATAGGTTCCTCTTGAAGTCACTCAGTCCCACTGGATTGGCAGAGACGCAGGCAGCAACATAGGTGGTAAAAACTTTGAAATGAGCTAAAACAGCTGCTCACATTGTAATGAAAAAAAATCTCATCCAGAAGATACCTGATATTTTCGTTCTCTTCACCGTGAAGGTCATTGTGGAGCGGCGCATTTCAGAGTGTGTGAGAGGGCTTAGAGGGGACGAGATGCTGATACAGCAAGGGCTTTATTTTGCCTCCCCTCTTTCTTGATTGGCTTCTGTCTTCTTTCGCTGTCTCCCGGCTCTGCAGTCAGTGCTGGTACAAATTTCAATCAATGCGAATGGGACCTCACATGATACATGTGTACAGAAAATTATAAATAATAAGATCAAGCAACCTGAAAGTAAACCTTTCTGAGGTTGATTTATGTTAAGGTGGACCTACTATTTGAGATGTCGGCTCAAAATGATATCATGATATTTCATAGAAAGCTGTGCGAATGATATTTGTTATGGTGTAGAAGAAAATACTGAACAAGGTTCTGTCAGTGATAACATCAGCATTTCCATGCTTCTCACCTACTGTGAGCCACTTTGTTGAGGACAGACTATTCTACGGTGGCCCTGAGAGGTCAAATATATTGCAACTTAATGGGATAACTCGAGAACGAACCAATGTAGGAGTTTCTAATTGATACCATAGGTGAATATACTAAAATAATCGGACGGCTGTTTTCTACTTTTGGCTCTGTGTGATGTCATTGAGAACTGATATGATTATTATGGTCATAGCCTTAGTTGCGAGTACGGCAGACCCACCCATCTGTAAAAACCTTCTACTTACAAGAAACTGGTGTTGTCACAATAAACTGGATTTGACCGTGATTATTAAAAATGAGAAATTCACATTGTGTTCAAAATAATTCACATCAAAATACTGTAAAAAACCCCAAAAACAACTCATGCCAGTGCTCTCTTTTCTAGTTCACTGAGGACGCAGCTGATCTGCACACTTTGTGGATGACTAAAGCGAGGCGACAACTTTAGTTAACACCAGCTCCTGTGTGAGACTGCTCGGCTGTGCCCTGAGCTTTAACTCACAGGTGTTTCTTCAGTTCATTGCTGGTCTGCTTGCAGTCTGGTCTGCTTTAACCTACTGATGTTTTTTACTATTTATATTATAAGTGAACTATTAAAATGAAGGAGACTTAATATATTGAGAGTTAAGGTTTTCCTACACTGGTAGCATTGCCTTTTATGGAGCGTAGCGTAATAGGAAGAGTGACGGAGAATAAATGTCCTGTTTCAGAAAGAGTGAACTGAGGGCCTGTGTGAGGATTATTTCGATCTGTGAATCATGTAAAAGCTACTCCAAGAATACAAATCTGGAACTTTAAATAAGAATAATATCGCCACTTCCATCTATGGTGGTATGAAAGTGTTTTTTTTTAAATAAATGTATTAAAGTTACTTAGATGTTTAGGTTCAGTAATAAACTACATTTAATACAATAAGAGAGCTTATTTGTTAAAATTCATGACTAAAGTGAATAAAGTGAACATGGCAGAAGTGAATCCATTGTCTCTGAAAGAGACTTCCAGTATCCCTGCTTCCCTTTTCCTCCCTCTCGTTACATTTCTCTGTCCTATTTTGGCTGCAGTTTGAACTATGTGAATGTCATCACTAACCCACTTTGGCCGAGTAGCATTGAGTGAATCCCGAGCCCTCGCTGCTCTGATCCGATAAATCTTCCCCTTTACTACGTCTAATAACTCAGCTCTCTGTCAGTGATTGGTTGATTTAGTCCAAGTGCTTCCATCTTATGTCCTTTTACATCTAGACTAATTATCTGGGTCTGATGGCGTGTTGGTGTCTGTCTCTCTGCCTATTTTTTTTCTTCCACGGCTCCTGCTCTGCTGAAAATATCAAATTGAGAGAGAGTTTGGTCTCACGTGGCTGCTTGTTGCCTAGCGACCACTGTCATCGACCATGATGCTGCCTCCCTCTTTCTTTCTCTCTCTACCTCTGTTTATGTCTCGGTATGCAGACAACTTTTTTCTAAAAATCCAAGTTGTTTAATAATCCAGCTGCATTCAGTTTGTGGATTTAAGCAACATCCTGTATTAGGGATCAGGCTCAGTCATTTTGTTGCTTTTATTATTTGGCCCGGCTTTGGCTGCGGCTCAGACTGTGGAACTGATACACAGGTTATATTTCACACTCTGGAGATCATTCATAAGCTCACACAAAACACTCACTGCCAAAAGAGCTGCAGTTTTATTCTTTTAATAATGGATATAATGAATAATGAATCACAGCAGCTGTGGCTCGGGAGGTAGAGCGGGGTGCCTCCAGAGGTTTGAGCCCCAGGGCGTGAGGGGAAAAAGAGCTATGTGTGTACCAAAAAATAAAAATAAATAAATAACAGAAAAATGACTTTTCAGCTCCTCGCTTAGTCACAAGCTGTCACCACAGCAGGTATCTCCACATGTGTCCAAGCAGTGTGCTCTTCTTTGATCCTCCCAGGATTAAACTGGGGATCTTTCAATTGTTATGCAAATGTAAAAACCACTGCACTGGAGCCACTGTATCTATACAGTTAAGTGCTACATAAATTTGTGTAACCAATAAGAAATGTTCAGTGGATCAGTTCAACTGCTTATTAATGCAAATAACTAATCAGCCAAGCAGCTCGGTGCAATTTGGCATGTAGACATGGTCAAGGCGACTTGTTAAAGGTTCAAACGTCATCTAAACGGAGAAGAAAGCGGATTTGGGTGACTTGTAACATGGCATGGTTATTGGTGCTGGTTTGAGTATTTGCTGGGAGTTTCCCACACAACACACAAGAGAGAAAATATCCAGTGAGAGGCAGTTTGAAAATGCCTTACTGGTGCCAGAGGTCAGGGGAGAATGACCAGATTTTGTCAAGCTTATAGGAAGGCAATAGAAACTGAAAAGATTCCCACTACTTACAACCAAGGTATGCAGAAGAGCATCTCTGAATTCACAATGCATTAAAGCTCGAAGCAGATGGTGTATAGCAGCGGAAGACCACCTGGTGTGGACTTCTGCTGAGTTCACTGTACTCAAATGACCTCCACATCCACCAAATCTCAATCCAGTTGAGCACCTTTGGGATGTGGAGGAACAGGAGATTCCCATTGTGGAAGTGCATTTAACAAATCTGCAGCAACTGTGTGATGCCATCATGTCTGAGGACATTCAAATTCAAAAACACTTTATCCCCAAGGAGCCAATTAAAAAGGATGTTTCCAGCATCTTGTTGACAGCAGTTCTGAAGACAAGAGGAGATCCAGCCTGGTATTAGTAAGGTGTACCTAATAAAGTGTGAATATAAATGTAGCCCATTTAATGCATATAACTAATATATTTTTCTTTAAAATAAATATACTGGACTGTAACTTAATGAACCTGACAGGAAAGCCTATATAAAAGATTTTAGTGGCTTTCCACCTCATTTCTCATTTCTTTATTTATCGTCCCTGCTGGGAAACTTTTGGTTTACAGACAGGCTCTCAAGAAATTATCCACATAAATAATAAAAGAAACAGTAAAAACCAAATGCAATCATACGACACAATCCTGCAGTAAAGAAAATCACTAAAATTTGCATTAAAGAAACCCAACTAAAGAGTGAAATGGTGTAATATGAGGCAACGATATCACATAAACAGATTTAGGAATGCTCCTGTCTGAAAAAGGGAGTTTTTGCACTGCAGCCTCTCTGCTCTGTCATGTCTGTCGTCATTAATACCTGTTTGGTTCTCTGATGGGCTCTTGTTGCTGCTCTCTGCACCTTTCCAGCTTTCCACATATGCACATGGATGTGAGGAGAGGTGCACTTGGAAGAGCGGGGAGGCTCTCCAGAACAGAGCCATATAAATGCATTACAGCCAAATAGACTGAAAAACATATAAATACCAGTTTTTATATATTTTTCTGGTTTTGACTCCAGTGGTCCTGACTGCACTCAATTATCTGATGTTTTAATAAAAGTATTTACAGCAGAGAAATGTCTGAGACTTTGACCTTCTTAACCTTATACAGTGATTCATTGGGGGCTGGGAAGTACACTGTGTGCTCATTTTCCTCCTATAATTTGAGATGATATTTGAATCATGAGCACGTTTCACTGCTGTCGTTGTTAATACCTTGATGAAGACAGCTGATTTTGCTTACTCAGCATACGGCTGCGTGTTTTTTTTGAATGCCGTTGGTCAGATGCCGCAGACGGGATGCGACAAGATGTCTGACGTCCGTCAAATGCAGAGCGATGGAAGTTGTCTCTGATTAGTGGAGCTGAGGCAGTTTCTGACAGCACTCATCCATCTCTGTGGTGTGACTGTGAGAACTCAGACATCATGTCAGCGCTTTGGAGAAAAACGCCCTCTCTGTCCAGCATGTGAAATCATAATCACGCTGTTCAGGAGGCATGGTGAGAATAATGCTGCGGTTATAAAGTATTTTACCTATAAAGGAAGCTAAATTACTTTCTGGAAATGTTTTATGGAAGCAATCAGGGATGATAGCTCAGAATTTGTAGAGTGAGTTTCCAGTAATTGCGCACGGTCCAGTCGGTCCTGCTCTCATTTATTCTCCTGTCTTTTTTCTCCCTTCTTCTCCTTTCTTCTTATTGTTGCCTTCATGTAATGCCACTGTGATGTCTTTATTTGTCTTCAGTTAAGACAAATTAAAGACAATTTGTCTTTAATTTGTCTTTTTGTTTTCATCCAGGGGAGCTTTGGCGTTTGGAGGATGACATGGAAGGTGACAATGAGACTAGCGGCTGCACCGAGGCCCGTCCACGCTCCCAGTCGCCGTTCTCCCATTTCCGGGCGCGGGCTGCTTACCTGCGCAAGAGCATGTCAGCCGATGAGCACCTAGACATGGGCTCCGACTTCGGCGCAGTGACTGCGGTCGAGGGCAAACAGAACCGTGGGAAGGGAAAGCTAAAGAGGAAGTTTGTAAGTTTGATTCCTTCACTTCCTGTTATTTGATTCGGTCCCACCCAGCCGTGTCCAGCTAAATCCTGTATCATCATGGCGTTGTTTCCTTCATCCCCTTTTTTCACACATCTCAAAGCCGGCTCATTTAAATAGGCACTTAGGATTAAAGGTTTTTCCGGCCACAGAACATATGGCCGTTCGGCAGAGCATGACTTAAGTTTTCTCACTTGCTGTGAGTGCAGCTTCATGCAGACATTCACAGCAGCTCTCAAATGAAGACAGCTCGTCCCACTCGCTCTTTCCTTATCTTTAATTAATTTATACAGCTGTGTGCTTGTGACTCTGTGGCTATTTTCAACTTTACCAAATAAATCCTGCTCGTCACCCTGAGGGAAGGCGACTGTTAACATGTGATGATAAAAACAACCCCCAAAAAACAAGCTATCGCTTTAAAGCTTTGTTGTCCTGATACATGAAAGATAATGAGCAAGAGAAACTATGGTGATCAAAGCTGATAAAGAGGAGAGTGCAAGGAAAAAATCTAGGGCTGACAGTCCTGAGAATACAGCATAAGGTGCAAAATGGTGCAAAATCCATCCATCCGTTCTCTTCTGCTTATCCGATTCAGGGTCACAGGCGGGCTGGGGCCTAACCCAGCTACTTTAAGGTGAGACGCGAGGTACGCCCTGGACAGGTCACCAGTCTGTCACAGGTCCAACACAGGGAGACAGACAACTATTCACACTCACATTCACACCTATAGGCAATTAAGAATTAGCCTAACCCCTTTAATTGCATGAGTTTTGGAAGAAGCCAAGCACTTGCAGAGAACATGCAAAATGTAAACAGAAAGGGGCAACAGTGCTAACTACAAATGGAAACAATACCGCAAAAAACACAATGAATTTAGCTGACATGCTACCTATTTTACTTTAGTCTTGCATATGTACTCAAGTTTATTCTGTTAAAGTTGATACAATAGGTAAAAATAAATAAAGTCTATTTTATATATATATATAGGGAGGACTGTAGGACTGTAGCTACTCCAGTTTTGGAGCTTTGGCAATTAAAATGACATCCATCAAGTGGTCAGCTTAGGAAACCCAAAGCTGCTGGCTAATTTCAAGCTTCCAAAATTACTGGTCCCTGGTCCCTTTCATTTTATCTAATTAGTAAAGTATAATTACCCCACTTGCTGCTTAAAATGATGTTTTGATTTGAGCTTAATTCCGTAAGCTGCATGTAACAGTGTTGGTTGCGTCAGATCTTTGGGGGGAAATGCTGCCAGACGAGTGCAGCGGGCTTGTTGAAGGCGCATGAAAGATTAAAGACCTGTATATTGTCCGTTAGCCTGTGGATCAGGTAATTGGAGACCTCATTACCAGCCGAAGCGTTGTAATTGATTCTCGGGTGTCACAGGCGCAACAGGAGACCAGGACAGGTTAGTGGATAGCTCGGTGGGAGAATTTAAGGTGTGTGTGGGGTGTTTTTTCTCTGGCATACTGCTGGATGTGGATCACAAGAATATACTTAACTGAACTTTAAATGGGATTAGCCATTTTTTATTTTCCTTTCATACACTTGAGCCAATCAACAGTTTGGTGTCAGATCAGTTCGTGGTCACAATAGTCGGGCTGAAAATAGAAGGGAAGAAGTTCATTTTATTAACTTCCATCACATTTAAACAGTTGGCCATCTTTACTAGAAATGGGAACAGCACTGGATCTGATGACCTGCCGCGGGTGTTTTGGGGTGAGAGTTCACGTTGTATTGTCTTCTAGTACACTGTAAGTGAGGAAATGTCAAATGTACTTTACTACTGCATCATACCTGCTTTAAATATGTTGTCTTCTCTCTGTATCACTCAGTCTTTTCTTTTTCGTTTGCGGATGCACAGATAAAACATTCAGAGCCGTGTTGTTGCTCAACACTTGTATGCTCTCCAGAGCGACGCGAAAATTGCCGTGACAAAAACAACTGCGCCTCAGCCTGCTGCCTCATGCAAACAACTGTTGTGCTGCAGTATTTAGTGTTGTGCTATGGAGGTTGACTGTGACACAGCAGAGAAACAATGCCTTAATATTAGCGCAAGTCGGCCCACACTGCAGAAGGCCTGCCTGCTGGCACGCATGTTAGAAGTAATCTACAGTATCTTTCGGAGATACTAATGGAGGCGGATTAGGTGTTTAAAGGAAAAATGTTTCAGTGTTTTTCTTACTTTTTTGGACTAAATATGGAATTGTAGTTATTGTAACAAAAAAGAAAAGACTAAAGCTTTTCAGGTAGGAGTAAGAGAACAGAAGGAGAGAAAGTAACCCGTGTTTGTAAGGCTGCCAAACTCTACATTATGGTCCGAGTTAATTACCTGTTGTAACGATATCAATGCCATCTCCCTTTAAACTGTCACACTCTGTGAGGGCCTATCTTCAGGGTCTTCAGGTCAACAGGCAGTGCTATCTGTTCAGCAACAACTGTTTGAAGCTGTTTTGTATTTTAGACTGAAACACCAGTAATCACGTGCTCTACCCAGAACAGAAGCAGCTCGTGGCTTTTACGACCCTTATTGACCTTTCTTTATATTGTTACAAGCTGTATACTTGTGAGTGAAAATGTGTCTCGCTCACCGGGATACCGAAAACACCTCGCACTTTTGTCAACTTTTACTTGTTGAGCTGCACAGTCAAGAAACTCTGCAGTTCTGCATGTATAAAATCCAGAGTTTCCCACAGTTGTATAACGCCCTCAGTTAGCTGTCACCTTTCTTACAGCATGCTATGTGGCAAAGTTGGAGGAGCAAAGCTGCACAGATGCAGCTCTCTCCACTTCTTTGCAGACGCTCTGCTGAGAGAGCCCAGGGGAGAGTGACCAGCTAAATCATGAGTAATCTGACTTTACAGTGATGAATGATTCAGTCTACCATAATTTGCAAATATGAGTATATGAGTATTATGTATTAAGAAACTTGTTGCAAAACACAAGATTTTTTCCCATTTCATTAACTGAATTTATGAAAAATACCACAGTAAGAGAGGTATAAAATAGTATGTTAGCACTCAGGTGTTTGCCAAAGAGCTATTAGCTGTTGCCCTGAAGCGTCATCAGAAATGTTCTCAGTGGAAGAGTGGCTCTCAAGAGGGAGAAAAGGCGGAGGTACGCAAAATTACACAAGAACTGGGATGAAACTCAGGTCTTATGGAGTGATGAGTCAAAATGTTTGTGGGAGGTCATGAAAGAGGTAAAACAGCCTTGACTTTCAAACCTGTTAGAAAAATTGAATTTTTTATTTTTATTTTTATTATTAATCCTTTATTTATCCAGGTAAAAAATCTCATTGAGATTAAAAATCTCATTTCCAAGAGAGACTTGGCATCATAGCAACAAAAGTCACATACCACATAGATATATAACATTTAAAACAAATACCTTATGTCAGTACATAAGGCTGTGTACATTAGGTAACAGCTGCACAGTTTTTGTGGTTTTGAGTAGAAAAACACCTTTTAAGCCTGTTTAAGCCATATGCAAACCACAGATGATGTAGTTGGACTGTTTGCTGTGTACAAGAGTAATATTACTGTAATATTACAAAGGGATTACAAATTGTATTTGCAGGAAGGATCATTTTCTCCACTGACAGCAGTGTGCCTTTCAACAGTTATTGTTTCTATCTGCTGTAATTTCATCTCTTGACATGCTGCCTATGCAGTGTAAATATGTATGCATGTATGTGCCTGTGTGTCCTTTATTTATTTAAATGTGTGGCTGAAGTGCAAATGCACTCAAAGCCTACTGACAGCAAGCTAAGAGGCTGACTAACCACATAATCAAAGTACAGATCGTATCATTTCTGTTGATTGAATGGCTGTAACTACATAATGGGATGTTCGTGCGTATTCGCTGCACTTTGGTCTGACACATCCTCTGGTGACTCACATAGATTCTCTATTAAAGCAATATATTAAAAATTACACACACAAAAAAAGCACAGGGAACGCAAATAATTGTTTTTCATCATTTCCATATTCACCGGAAACCCACAGGAAACACCACAAGAGAGATTTCAACCAAATCACGTACGTGGATGTGCTCCTCGCATGGTGGCAGGAGTCCTGATACTGTACTGGCAGGAATCTCAGTGGTATCTAGACTGTTGAATAAGGCGAATTATATTCAGCATGCTGCTTTGGTCAAAGGCTCTGGGTCGCCTGGATTGGTTTGAGAAACTTGATATCGCCGCCTGCGGCTAAGCTCTTTTATGTCATCAGGAAACGGGCACAGAGTGTGCTCGCACATAATAGCTCATAAAAACACACTTAACACACATGAGAAATACTCTGAAAAATCAGACATTTAAAGGCCACTGGCAAGGCTTAGATGAAGACCACAAGTGTTTCTGTGACGTCTGCTTCGCCACTTTATCTATTTGTAAGTCAGCCTGTTTACACCTCGAAAAAAAAGCATTGAGCTGAGGTGGTGAGTGCGGGGGGTCTACGAAGCAGCTGATTTACATTTATTCTACTCTTGGTGTATACCCTGACTGACCGTCTGCTCACAAAACACTTGTGGTGATTGGTGAATCCGAGAACACAGAATATATTGTGTTCATAATAAGAATGAGCCTTCCTAGTTGTGTTTGGAATTAGCGAGCGAGGACAGAAGCATCTTCACAGTTTGAAACTCTCCGTGCTCGGCAGCCGTTTAGTTTATTCCCCATCTGTCTGAGACAAATTTACGCTACAGACAAAAAAGATAAAACTCTGTTTGGATGGACTGTGTTCTTTTCACGTGGCTCATGGAGCTTTCCATTTGTTTTCATTGCTAAGCCACCATCTGATGTATCCTAAGATGGCTTGTGTACCTCAGTGATCTCAAAATAGATCACACTGGACGCTTTTGTTAGCCGTAAATCCAGCAAACGCATTTTTTTTCTCATTACTGATTCGACGTAGGTCTGTGGGATTCTTGTCCACTAGAGGGCAGGAATGAGCACCTATTGTTGGTAACAATTTCCTGAGAAT